AAATTATAGTAAAAATACAAATAATACAAAGCATAAATAACCAAATATAAAGAAAACAAAAATAGAATACAGATAAAGTAGCTGCTAGCAGAAAGCATCTACGAAGTGTTTGAACTGTTACTGGACTTAACCTTAGGATGCTATCCTGTTTGTGTTTTTAAGTAATCTAAATTGAACTATAAGCCACTGAAATCAGTTAATGAAAAATACAGGGAGTGCTGGTCTAAAGTAGATGTAAACAGTTCTAGAGCACTGTTTGGAGTACAGGAATAATTTGCATAAGGAGACTTGCTTCTGTGTTACTGTATGTGTGAGCTTTTTTTTTTCTATCAAATGTATAGAGTTTACAAAAGCTGTTTATGTATTAAGATTTTTGAAAAACAAAATTTAGAAGTGTGAGAAGGGGAATATGTTTGCTGTTCCTATAACTGATTTGATAGTGATACCTCATTTTCTCTCCTGTTGCCTGCCAGATGAAATTACTGAAGCAAAGTCTGGGACTGCAACTCCACAGAGATCGGGTTCTGTGAGCAACTATAGATCCTGTCAAAAAGATTCAGATGCTGATGCGCAAGGAAAATCTGCAGATACATCCCTTACCTCATCAGTGAGCTCTTCGCTTGACTCGTCTACGGCTGACTTAACTCCAAGACCAGGGAGTCATACAATAGAATTTTTTGAGATGTGTGCAAATCTTATAAAAATACTTGCACAATAATTTTGAAAATGGGCTTATTTCTTTTATAGCAATAAGCATGCCTAAATCATAGTCAGATGCTTCCAATTATAATCAAGTTAAATTAACTAAGGCGCTGAAAAAGCTAGCCACAGAATGCAATTTGCACAGGAATTGAAATGATTATGGGCAGTTAACGTGTATTATTCTGAAGCTGGAGTGAATTCTGATTGTCTGCTGTCCAATAGCATAATACAGGTACAGGAAATCACATGCCCTTCGGGCAGTGTTTGTAACATTTTACATTGACTGCACATTAGGCTGCGTATAACATTTAAGTTAGATGGACCTTCTTGTATTTTTTCACTGGTAATACATCTGATGCACTGTAAGTAAGTGTACACTTACTGCTTCAGTGACATAACTATGACTTGTTGGTCACCATCTACAGTTGTGCATCAGTTGGTCAGAATTACCAACATTTTCGAACAGTAATGTGTTAAAACTGCTGTTTCTTCCCCCTTATTTGATAAAGAATAGTTCAATGCGTTATAGTGTACTACTTTTAACAACTTATAAATTTGATTAAATGCATGCAAATCCAACCAGGTGGAAATGCATGTAGGTGCTCTGTGATGCACTTGGGGTGAAATTATGTGGGCTGTGAGTAGAACAATTGAGTCCACAGCAATGGTGAGAGACTTCATGCTGAGAAGGCTTGGCACCCCATGGGCTAAAACAACATGTTGCTCTCTGAAGGAGAACTGTTGGCAAGCTCCTGATCTCTGCACATATCTTACTGTGGTAGCAGCACAGGAGCTCCCCACTGCTACTGCAGGCTGAGAATCCTTTTCCTTAGAAACGTGTGCATGTAGTTAAGAGCAGAGCCTAAGGGCTGTTGCATGCTATTCCAGAATGTAAAAGTGAGATTTTTTTTTTAACATATACGTTAATACTTTGATACAGCTGTTTATCACGTTACCTTAGCATATACTTACATAGAATTCACTTTGCATTTGAAGCTACATATATAGGTTAGGTTTTCTCAGTCCACTTTTATAGCAAACTGTGCTGTTTAAATTAATTGTGAAATTAAATAGTCCCAACTTTTCAGTTGGACGTTGAAAACTGATCACGACAACTTAAGTGCTAATATTAAAAAAATTTTCAACCATAGATTGCAATTACTAATAACATAAATCCTTCTGCATTTATGTTTTTTGCTATGCTTCAGGAAGAAAATTGAACCATATATGTTAAAATCACAGCTAGTACTTGCACAAAAACACTTAGTCTCTTGTGATTTGGATGTAATTAGCAACAGTTCCATTCTCATCTAGCACTAATAGACATAAACAATAAACTGTATGTCATAAAATGTTTAGTTTTGCAGTCAAGAATTAATGTTCTCTTCAAGATAAACTTCATGACCTACGCAGTTTCAAAAGTCGCTCTCCCAGGGAGAGACTGGAAACCAAGGCATTACTATGAACAATGAAACCTGGACTCTTAAAACGTATGGGGATTCTTGCCAATGACTTGAGATTTCATTCACAGAAAACTGCTACCTACAGATACAAATACAGTTTAATCCAGGCCAACTGGCACCAGTCCAGAAATTCATCTGTTATGAACATGCACAGAATCTGAAGAAACACAAAGCTGCTTTAAGCCCCAGAACTGCTGTAACTGCATTCTGAACCGGGCAATTGTGTGGTCTGTCTAGTACGTGTAGGTACAAGTTACAACTTCAGTTCTTCATCCATGGTCCCTGTAATGCAAGGTTCTACTACTGTATCTCAAAGTGGAAGATTTTCCTTAGATAAAGCTTTGGGTTTAAACTCCTGAGATTGAGATGTCAACATGAGGGACCAGCTGCAAATCCTACTTTTAAGTCCTGTTTTTAGTCTTGTAAGAATTGGGTCTGATGTACTGAATAAATCAGTGTGTTCATTTTTGTTACTCTTCTATTTTGAAATTGTTAAATATTGCACTTGTACGAATATAACAAAACGCACAGTTTTTTTAATTTAGTAATTCCTCATCTGGAATTGGTTTGGGATCACTCTTGCATATGTTAAACTAAATATTTGTAAATTGTATCTGCTCCTTGTAATGCTGACCACAAATGCAAGGTGTCAAGCTGCAAACAGCTTTTAATTTTTGTATACTTTTTTTGGCCCTCTTGTGCATTAAGAGAACCATGGTTTTTCCTTTGTCCTGCTATTTGGAGGTTAAAGTAAGTTTCTGGCAGAAGTGTACTTATTGTAAGTGTAGTTTTAAATAAAGCAAATTTTATTGGTATGATAAATCAGTTTTGATGGCCAAAAGTTTTCTGATTGAACTGAGATTTTTGTAGGGAGTGGGGGAGGGAGAAAGGGGGACTGACAACATAGCTGCACACAGAGCAGTTGTCGTTGTGTGACTTTCCTATGCTTTGTAGCTTTTGCTTTTGAAACTGCTTTCTTCACGTGTTCTACCAATCCTGCAGACCTTTTTATAGCATCGCACTAGTTAGTACCTGCCAATAGGCTGTGAAATGAAACTTCACTAAGAAAGCTGCCAGGGGATTTAAAGAGGCAGCTTATGCACAAATTGGTCAAGTATGTTACTCTGTATTCCCAAGCTTACTCCCGCTGGAGTACATTACCTTGCCTTTGTATTGTAATTTTTTCAAAAAACATGGATTAACCTGATTGTCTACGTATGATACAACTCAATAGGTAATTGATAAAAATTCATCTTGGTGGTGCAGTATTTAAAAAAAAAAAAATATGTTTGTCTTGATGTGAGTGTTTAATACAAATCTGGAAATAAATTTTATTTTACCAGTTGATCACCATTGTAAGATACAAAGTCCTGTTCTCTAACAACGATGTGCCTACTTCCTATGTTAATTTCTTCTGACAACGCTGAATGGCAAAAACGCTTGTTTGTAACTGTGTAACTTTTTAAACGTTCAAACCTTAAAGACTAAGTAAACATGAAATACTGAACCGTGCTGTGTGAAGCCGTGTCCCTGCCGTCTCACGGCGTTGCGTCTGTCGCCGGTTAAGGGGGGAGGGCTGCCACGCTCCTCCTCACACCGCAGCCATTGCCATTTCTCAGCTTCCCGCACCCTTCCC